AATAGGAACACTTTTACACTGTTGGTGGGATTGTAAACTAGTTCAACCATTATGGAAAACAGTATGGCGATTCCTCAAGGATCTAGAACTAGAAGTACCATATGACCCAGCCATCCCATTACTGGGTATATACCCAAAGGATTATAAATTATGCTGCTATAAAGACACATGCACACGTATGTTTATTGCAGCACTATTCACAAAGCAAAGACTTGGAATCAACCCAAATGTCCATCAGTGACAGATTGGATTAAGAAAATGTGGCACATATACACCATGGAATACTATGCAGCCATCAAAAAGGATGAGTTTGTGTCCTTTGTAGGGACATGGATGCAGCTGGAAACCATCATTCTTAGCAAACTATCACAAGAACAGAAAACCAAACACCGCATGTTCTCACTCATAGGTGGGAACTGAACAATGAGATCACTTGGACTCGGGAAGGGGAGCATCACACACCGGGGCCTATCATGGGGAGGGGGGAGGGGGGAGGGATTGCATTGGGAGTTATACCTGATGTAAATGACGAGTTGATGGGTGCTGACGAGTTGATGGGTGCAGCACACCAACATGGCACAAGTATACATATGTAACAAACCTGCACGTTATGCACATGTACCCTAGAACTTATGTATAATAATAACAAATAAATTAAAAAAAATAAAAATAAAAAATAAACAACAACAACAACAACAACAAAAAAACAGAATATCTGAACAGACCAACAACAAGTATTTCAAACTGAGTCAGTAATAAAGTCTTTAATCAAAGAAAAGTGCCGGACCTCATGGCTTCACTGCTGAATTCTACAAAAAAAAATTAAGTTCTTTAGAATTTTTCACAAACTATAGAAAATAATTGATAAGAATGGAAGACCTCCAAACTCATGCTACGAGGTGATAATTACCCTATAACCAAAACCAGACCAAGACACCGAAAGAAAGAGAGCTACAGGCCAATATTCCTGATGAGTGCAGATGCAAAAATAGTCAACAAAATGCTAGCAATTGAAACTCAACAGCACATTAAAAAGATCATTCACCATGATCAAGTGGGATTTATACCAGGGATGCAAGGATGGTTTAACACATGCAAATCAATAAATGTGATACATCACATTAACAAAGAAAGGATAAAAACATGACTATTTCAATAGATGCAGAAAAAGCATTTGACAAAATTCAATCCCTTCATGATAAAACCTCAACAAATCAGGTATAGAAGGACTATAACCTTCATATAATAAAGGCAATATACAATAAATCCACAGCCAACATTGTATTGAATGAGAAAGAGTTGAAAGCTCTTCCTCTAAATTCTCAAACAAGACAAGGATGCCCACTTTCACCACCACCATTCAGCATAGTACTGGAAGTTTTAGCAAGAATAATTAGGTAGGAGAAAGGACAAAATGTAGTGAAATTAGAAAGGAGGTAGTCAAATTGTTCCTATATGCAGATGACATTATCTTATATGCAGGAAATCCTAAAGACTCCACCAAAAAACTGTTAGAACTAATAAACAAATACAGTAAAATTGCAAGATAAAAAGACAACATACAAAAATTAGTAATGTTTCCATACATCAATATCAAACTGTCTGAGAGAAATAAAGAAAGCAATCCCACTTACAATAGCTACAAAAAATAATAAAATACCTAGCAATAAATTTATCCAAGGAGGTAAAGTATATCTACAAGGAAAACTACAAAACAGTGATAAGAGAAATTGTAGCTAACACAAATGGAAAAACACACCATGCTTATGGGTTGAAAAAATTAATATCATCTATTAAAATGATTATAGTGCTCAGAGCAGTCTACAGTTTCAATGCAATCCCTATCAAAACACCAATGTTATTTTTCAGAGTTAGAAAAAAGCAATTCAAAAATTCATATGGAACCACAAAATACCCTAAATAGCCAAATCAATCTTATGCAAAAAAAGAAAAAGCTGGAGGCTTTACACTATCTGACCTTGAAATGTGCTATAAAGCTATAGTAACCAAAACAGCATGGTATTGGTATAAAAACAGACACACAGACCAACAGAACAAAATAGAGAGCCCAAAAATAAATGCAGGAATTTACAGCCAATTGATTTTCAATAAAGGAATCAAGAGCACTTAATGGGGTAAAAACAGCTTCTTCAATAATTGGTACTGGGAAAACTAGATATCCACATGAAAAACAATAAAACTAGACTATCTCTCACCATATACAAAAATTAACTCTAAATGAATTAAGGACTTCAATGTAATACCCAAAATTATAAAACTACTAGAAGAAAACATAGGAAAATGTTTCATGACATTGGTCCACACAAGGATTTTTTTAGAGAAGACCCCAAAAGCAGCAACAACAAAAGCAAAAATAAATAAATGGGACCACATCAAACTAAAAAGCTTTGGCACAGCAAAGGAAACAATCAGCAGAGAAAAGAGACAACATACAGAATGAGAAAAAATATTTGAAAAGTACACATTCAACAAGAAGTTGATATCCAGAGAAATGTAAATCAAAACCACAATGAGATATCACCTTGCCCCAGTTTTAAAATAGCTATTAACAAAAAGATTAAATATAACAAATGTGGCAAAGATGTGGAGAAAGGGGAACTCTTACTGTTGGTGGGAATATAAGCTAGTAGAGTCATTATGGAAAACAGTACGGAGGTTCCTCAAAAAATTAAAAATAGAACTACTACATGACCCAGCAATCCAACTACTGGGCATATATCCAAAGGAAATCAAATCAGTGTGTTAAAAAAAATCTGGACTCCAGTGTTTATTGCAGCACTATTTATAATAGACAACATATGGAATCAACCTAAATGCCCATCAACAGATGAATGGATAAAGATACTGCCATATACATAAACAATAGAACACTATTCAGCCTTATAAAAGATGAAATCTTGTCATTTTCAATCACATGGATGAATCTGGAGTACATTATATTAGGCGAAATGTTGGGCACAGAAAGACAAATACTGCGCCATCGCACTTATATATAGAATCTAAAAAAGCTGATCCCAGAGAAGTTGAAAGTAGAATACTGGTTAGCAGCAACTTGGGAGAATAGTGGAGAGGAAGAGATGGTGAAAGGTTTGTCAGCAGGTACAATCTTACAATTAGATAAGAATTAGTTCTGGTACTCTATTGTGCAGTAGGGTGAGTCTAGCTAACAAAAATGCATTATATATTTTCAAATATCTAAAAGAGGGGATTTGGAACATTCTTACAACAAAGAAATGATAAATGGTTAAGGTGATTCATATGCTAATTTTCATCAACGTACAATGTATACATTTGTCAAAATACCACATTGTGCCCCATAAATATGTACAATTATTATGTTTCAATAAAAGGAAGAATATCCTGCTGTATTTGACAAGATGGATGATCCTGGAGGACAATATGCTAAGTGAAATAAGCGAGTCATAGAAGGACAAAATACTGCATGAGTCAACTTACATAAGGTATCTAAAATAGACTTACAGAAAAAGAGAGTAGAATAGTGGCTGTCAGGGGCTGTGGTGGGAGTGGGGGAAATACGGGGCTGAGTTACGGTTAAATGGGTATAAAGTTTCAGTTATAAAAAATGAATACGTTTTAGAGACCTGCTTACAACAGAGTGCCTATAATTAATAATACTATATTGTACACTTAAAAATTGTTAAAAGAGTAGATCTTATAATAAGTGTTCTTATCACAATTAAAAGAAAAAAAGCCATGATGTTGAAATAAAGACTAATGGACATGGGAGATAATAATTTTAGATGGCCGGGCGCGGTGGCTCAAGCCTGTAATCCCAGCACTTTGGGAGGCCGAGACGGGTGGATCACGAGGTCAGGAGATCGAGACCATCCTGGCTAACACAGTGAAACCCCGTCTCTACTAAAAAATACAAAAAAACTAGCCGGGCGAGGTGGCGGGCGCCTGTAGTCCCAGCTACTCGGGAGGCTGAGGCAGGAGAATGACCTGAACCCGGGAGGCGGAGCTTGCAGTGAGCTGAGATCCGGCCACTGCACTCCAGCAAGGGGGACAGAGTGAGACTCCGTCTCAAAAAAAAAAAAAAAAATTTTAGATGCAGAGTTAAATTGGGCTCTCTGAGTATATAATATTTAAAATGACATATAAGGAAAGAACATGGTAGGCAAAGAGGCCAAGATGGACAGCATTCTGCGGTGTGAATGTGCTTCTTGTGTTCAAGAAATAAACAAAGATTAATTTGCTGGGTCATAGAGAGCAAGGAGAAATTTGGAAGAAAATGAAAGAAGTGGCAGCAGAGAGGTTAAGCAACTTTTGTAGGCCACAGTTAGAAAATTTACTCTAAGTACAATCAGAATCTAGATTTGGGGCATAAAAGCAAGATTTTAGTTTTATACATGTTATTTTTGAGACGTCAGTGAGAAGTTTAATAAAAACCTGGAAATATAAGCATCTCAGGATGGCGCATTAAAGAACACCTATAATCACAGTATGAGTACAAGATAAAAAGCCCACAAGGAAAACCAGCAGAACATGCAGCAAAGTTGGAGAAAGAAAATACCAGTTAAACCACACGTGTTTATAGCAGCTTTATTCATAACTGCCAACACTCGGGAAGCAACCAAAATATCCTTCAGTAGGTAGATGAATAAAGTGTGATACCACTTGACAATAGACAATATTCAGTGCTAAAATGAAATGAGCTATCAAGCCATGAAAAGATATGGAGAAAAGAGATGCATATTACTATGTGAAAAAAGCCAATATGGAAAGGTTACATACCATATGATTTCAACTATCTGACATTCTGGAGAAAGCAAAACTGTGGAGACACAAAAAGATCAGTAGTTGTCAGGGGTAAGGGAAGAAGGAAGAATGAATAAGTAGAGCATAGAAGAGCTTTAGAGCAGTGAAACTACTCATTATGATACTATAATGATAAATACATGTCATTATACATTTGTCCAAATCCATAGAAGGGACAACAGCAAGAGTGAATCCTAATGTAAACTATGGTCTTAGGATGATAATGATGTGTCAATGTAGGTTCATCAACTGTAAAAAAATGTAGCACTCTGTTGGAGGATATCGACAATGAGGGAGGGTATACGTATGTGGGGGCAGAAGGTATATGGGAAATCTCTGTACTTACTTCTCCATTTTAATGTGAACATAAAACTATTCTTAAAAAGTCTATTCAAAAATAAATTTATACTATAATACTAAATTAATTACTTAAGTCCTTTATATAAAAACTAGCCACACTCCACTTACTTCTGAGTAAATTTCTCCTTCTAATGCCTATGTGCCCACAAGGGCATAAACATGTACATTTTTGTGGGCTTGTTGGTGTCCCTGTTTAACAAGTATGTTTGCATTGGAATGTGGTAGAGAAAATGCAAGTGGAACAAGTGAGTGAACCAAATGTCATTAGTAAGGTTTGACCAGCAAGTTCCAAAAATCCTAACATTTCCCTTTAGCCTTCCTCGTTCAGGTGTTACATTTCTGAGAACGTTTTATTTTTATTACATAATTGACTTCTAAAGAGGTAAGAATATCACCTCATGAACTTAAATGTATTGTGGGGTTTCAAGTGTAACTCATTGCGTGAGGAAGGTCTGAGATGAGTGAAACATTTTTGTGTATACCACAGTGTTAAAATTCCAATCTTATAGAAATTTTTGCCTTCTCAACACTTTCTTGAATGCATTCTTGACTTCTCTGTTCCTCAGGCTGTAGACCACAGGGTTCAGCATGGGGATGATCATAGCGTAGAACACGGATGCCATTTTGTCTGTGTCCATGGAGTGGCTGGAGCTGGGCTGCAAGTACATGAAGATGACTGTCCCATAGAAGATGGAGACTGCAGTGAAATGAGAGGCACAGGTGGATAATGCTTTTTGGTGTCCCTTAGCTGAATGCCTCTTCAAGATGGTGATGAATATGAACAAGTAGGAGATAAAGATAACTAGAAGAGCAAAAAAGATATTAAAGCTTGACATAAAAACCAGAATTGCCTCACTAATGTGTTTATCAGAGCAAGACAGAGCCATGACTGCTGGAACATCACAGAAAAAGTGATGGACTTCATTGGACTTACAGAAAGAGAGACTGAATATGCCCCCAATGTGGAATGAGGCATTTAGGAAGCCACAGACATATGAGCCTAGGGCCAGACGAGCACATACACTGGCCGTCATGGTGGTGGTGTAGTGTAGGGGTTTGCACACTGCTGCATAGCGGTCATAGGCCATTGAGGCCAACAAGTAATTTTCCACAGTGGCCAAGGCTACAAAGAAGAACATCTGAACAGCACATGCATTGTAGGAGATGACCTTGTCTCCTCTAAGGAACCCAGCCATGACCTTGGGAGTGACGGTTAAGGAGTATCCAAAATCCACCAGAGACAGGTTACTGAGGAAAAAGTACATGGGGGTGTGGAGATAAGAGTCCATCAGGATCAGCATCATCATTCCCACGTTCCCACACAGAGTGAGGAGGTAGACGAAGGTGAACAAGATAAAGAGGGGGACCTGTAGTTCTGGGGCATTAGTTAGTCCTAGAAGTATGAACTTTGTCATTTCTGTACAATTCTCCATCGGTATTATCAGGAAGCATAAGATGTCCTGTAGCAATAAGAAATAAAGCAATAGAGTAATAAACAAAAAAGAGATTTAGAAATGTATAAATACTATATGCATTATGTAATTAGAGCAACAATTCATACTTCAAAATTCTATAGATCTAAAGCATAGGCTTAATAACAATCTTTAATGAATTATCTACACAGTTGCAATCTGTTGAATCCAGGGGATCTTTATAAATAATATCCCAATGTTTCCATTTTATAAATTTATAAACTGCTATGTAGTATATTTAATGATGTGTCCAAGATGACGCATCTGGAACTAATTTTTCTGCCAATTCCGTTTTCCCTAATCCAGTAAAACTTATATATTTATGTTGCTCACATACTGGGAACTGCTCTAGGCAATTTGTATGTATATTGATTCCTCTCAACAGTATAATGAGGTTGATTAGTTATTGCATTTATTTAATTTGTGAGGCTCACAAGATTAAGTCATTTATTCATATATACACAAGTGTTAATAGTCAAGCCTATCTTCTGGCTCAGGAGAGTTGTTCTCAAGTTCAATGGTCTAAATTGAATCTAAATCAAATTGAATGTGAAGCAATTTACAATTACTCATTGTCTTTGTTGGTGCAAACTTAGGCAGGTTTCACAGTGAGGTAACTGAGAGGAAAATGCACATTAACGGTCTCAGGACAGCTGGAGAAGCAGAGAAATGTACAACCAGCAAAGGCAATTCTGAGGGGAAGGCAGCATCAGATATAGAGCTTGGGATTGGGAAGAGGTGCATATCAGCCCTACCATTTACTACTTAGGCAGCATCGGTCCCAGACTAACTTCCCTGAACCTTGTTTATTTTACCTGCAGAATGAAAATATTAATGAGATCAACCTCAAGGCATTATTTTGAAAATTCAATGAAATAATACATTTTTACAACAATAAACAAAATGTTAAATGTTTAGCACAGTCTGATGAGAGCTAGCTATAATGTTATTGTTAGAATGGAATGATGATCTCTGTTAGTTTCATAAAGGAGGATGGCAGGGCTTTGTGTGTTGGTAAATTTTGAAGTCTTGTAGCCCCTTCTTCAATTTGTCTTTCCTCACATACTAGGGCTACTGAGATTTTCTGTGCCTCCCAATAATTCTCATTCTGTCTTTTTTTCACACAAATGATTGACTGCTCCAGCAATTCCATGTGAACCATTCTTCTGTTTAATTTCTTCCTTACATTTTAGCTCGGTTTCGCAGCATCTCCTTTACTTAAACACATTCTTTTCTTTCATTTTTGCCATCTCTTAGTTGAATGCAGACCCTTATAGTTTAAAATGCATCGTTCGTGGGTTTCCTTTAGTCTGCAGATCTGCAGATCTGTTTTGGTGGCAGGTTCTGAGTTGTAAAATTATTATTTAGATCAGTTCTTGCATATGAATAGTGTTTTAAATTAGAAAGGGCATTCATCCTCTAACTACTATTCATCTGCTAACTACTATTGCCTACTGTCTTTCCACACTGCGTAAGTTTAGCCCATGAAAGCCTTATGTTTGCCAAACTCAACTCACATAACCACTTTTAGAATATACTACGTTCTACAACAGATGTTAAGAACTTTTTATATAAATGTTTACATGTGTGTTTGTGTGTGATAAGTATTATTGTTATTACTATTTTACCATTACGAGAATTTGATATTTGAAAAGTTTTGTGATATTCTACAATTATACAACTAGTATGGAGAATAGTCAAGATTCACAACTGAAACCAAGTTCCAACCTAATCAAAATTTGTGCTTTTAGCTACTTCACAACGAGCATTAGATGTGCTAGTCATAATAAGGATGAGATTATGAGGGAAAGGTTACAATTCTGTATGCATCTTGCTAACTTATTTAGTTCCTTTTATAGTCTGAAGAGCTGTCAATTCACACTTCTGTTATTTTTGTTTGTTTTACTTCCAGTAGAAGCCTGATAGTGAGTAAGATGAAATTACCACCTACTTAATCAGCACATCATCTATCTTATTTTTTTCATCTTCTTTAGGGAAGCAGTATGATATTTCACAAGTATCACTGAACACCCTACCAATGGAAGTTTTGACATCTCTATACTCCAGCCTCAGCATATGTTTTTATAAAAAGAAATTTAAAGCATCTACTCCTGTTCTAAAATAATATAGTATCTATAGCTGTCCCATTGCTTTTGCACGAATTCCCTGTTTTACTAAATGTATATGTGGAACATAGAAGCTTACCTTGCGCCTGGAAAAAAAGAGATAGTCTATCCTGAATATTAAGTCTAAAGTTGGAAATTCAGTCATGGAATAATGTATAAATACCATTAGAAAAATAATCTGTCTCAGGTAGTGGTCAAAAGGCTCCAAGTTCCCTACGGCAAGGAAAGACAGAATAAAAAAACACTAACATCAATAAACTAAACTAAATATAACTGCTATTGTTAGGAATGAGCTCTAACACATAAAGCATTCACTATGTGCAGATTCTCTTTTATGTATTTTGCATACATTAGCTCAAAAAAGTAGAAAGTAAAGGTGTATTGTAGGTGAAAAATAGGATTCCATGTAAGCTTTGATTTTGCTGTGTGTGTATGTGTGTGTGTACATATGCATGCGGTCACCCATTATGGGTCACAATGTAAATCATGTGGATTCCTTATTTTTAAAAATCTAAAGCTTTCAATCAAGAGCCTCTGAATAGCCTGTGCAAAGTTAGGCATGAGACTGTGCTTCAGTAACACAGAACCATGTATTTTTTAATGTGCTCATTGATCATTTGCTCACTCATTTATTTATTCATTTATTCATTTAGATATATTCATTCATTGCCTCAACAAATATTTAGAGTGCCCTTCATTTTCTAAATGCTCTTCTAATCACATGGATTTTTTGTGTGTATAAGGTTATTTTGTTTTTTGTTTTTTACTTTTAAGTTCAGGGATACATATACAGGCTTGTTACATAGGTATGTTTGCATCATGAGGGTTTGTTGTACATATTATATCATCACCCAGGTATTAAGCCTGGGACCCATTAGTTATTTTTTTTGATCCTCTCCCTCCTCCTACCCTCCACCCTTCGATAGGCCCCAATGCCTGTTGCCCTCTAAGCATATGAATTTTAAATGATGAGAATAGTACCATCTTCTATTATTTGAATAAAATCACCATTTTTCTAATTAATGGAGATTGTTGTAACACCTGGACTGTGGCTAAATAGCGTGAGAGCATGAAAATATTTAAAACTGGATACTAAACTCTGGATGTATTCAATGGGAAAATGTTTGCCCTTGAACTTTTATATAGCACATATTCTATTACCACAACCTAAACAGACCATAGAACTGAGCTAGAAACTTACCTTGCTCTTCAAGGAAAATGACACACTTTCAGTTGGTATCTTCAAATTGCAAGTCCTACTCAAAGAAGAAAGAAAAGCTCCTATTTAAGAAGTTGTTATTTAATGTCTAGTCACAAATATTGAAGTTCTCTAGAGGGAGGGAGATTTAAGGAAAAAGTGATGATTAGGTGGAGATTAGAAAATATTCTCCAACTTGTCACACAGGACTGCTGCTGTGAGGAAAAATAGAAGTCTCTGAATGCATTTTGTAAAGTGCTAAAGAGCTCTAAGAAGGGATCATCATATCCACAATGAACATCATTTTTAGCTGGGGGTTTTATCCTTGGCCATTGTTGCAGACTCAGAGTAATATACCTGTGTGAAATAAGGCCACTTAGTACAATGGACAACCTTTTACACTGAGATCAATAAATGATCACCAAAAGGTGACACACAGGGTGGAACCTCTAACATGATGGTAAATAGAGTCATGTTGGGATGTTAGTGACCAATGACTGGGAACTAACAATAATTGAGGAATTTGAACATACATAAAGTTCTCAGGGGACAAGTTACCCATGAGAATAACCAGAGTCTCTCACTCCAATCATCGAGAAAAGCAACAACTAAACTGTGCACGGAAGCCTGGTTCTGTTTTCTTAGGAAGAACACTAGTATATTTACTTTACTCGGAGTTATTTCTTCTTGGTAGTGCAAACATCTTCAGAGAAGATTCATCATTAACTTTTCTGGCAGAAATTAGACAGAATCATGAGCAGCATAACAGAAACTAGGCTAAAGTATTATGTAAGTCGTGTTGGCCCATGGCAGCATAACTTCCCAAAATTCATATTGAGATTATAGGTTATACAAACACTTATGCACTTGAATTCTCTCATTAATAAAATAGAGATGAGTACCTTTTTTTCTGAGATAGTAGAATGGATGCTTTGCCAGAATCCTTGCCCACTTGGAAATAGCAAGTAGTGTGTAGAGATTCACACTGTGAACTTGTATCCAAGAAGAAACATGATTGTTCAACATAAAAGTGAAAGAAAACTTTGGATACTGCTGAAAACAAGACAGACAGCAGCCCAAATGGAAATCTGTGAATCAATCCCTCCACATGTGAGAGGGGGAGTGCTCCACAATACACATTTCCACCAGGAAGCCAGGAAATCTAGACCATCGGGAACTTTTGAGCTTCCCAAAACCTGGATCAGACTTGGGGAACAGTCAAGGGACTGTGAGAAGGAAGAGCACTGGGAAGTACCCCACATGCACTCCCAGGCTTAAGGACCAATGGAAGGAGGTCATTCCTGATGCTAACTCATAGCGGGTTGCACAGAAACCTGCCAGCTAGCATTGGTGGCAGTCACTGGTTTGTAGAGTCATTAGTTAGGGATTTATGATCTTAACTTGATTGGAGGAAGAATCCACATAGCCAGAATGGAGAGGCAAGAATAGCATGGGCTTCAGCTGCGGACAATGGAACTGGGAACCCACCTTGCAGGACCAGATCAGGAGGGTTTGAGTCTGAGATGAGTGGTATTGGCCAGGGTAGAAAGTTTTGCAGCCTGGGACATTTTCACAGTCTAAAGGCAAACTGCATTTGAGTTGGCTAACTGTCCCAATTCACTGCTAGTGTCCAGCCGTGGGAAGGAGCCATGATGGGTTGAGTGAGAGCAAATTGGGTCTTACTACCCCTTGATAGACCATGGAGCCTAAGATGCACTCTTTCCCTCATGGGGTCATTGGCACAGCAGCAGTTGCTCTGCTTCTTGCTGGAGTGTTTCTTCAGAGGCCTGAGGATTTCTCTCTGAACCCTGTAAGGGCCAGCACTTGTACATGCC